AAGTAAATAAATAAATCTTTAAAAAAAATTAAAGTATGTGAAGATTGTTTTAAATAAATCATGTCTTAGCTTTTATCTCTTTATTTTATATCAAACATCAGAAATCAGATCTTCATTTGCTAGGTGTGAAAAATATTACATTTTACTGGTATGATTTTTACCTTAAAATATTGATCTCCAGATATAATTAATACTTGAGCTACGATTCACTAGTTCATGGATTTCAGTTTAAGAACACCATCAGTAATTTTTACCTTGCAATGACTGCTTCATTCTCCCTTTCCATAATTAAGTTCTGCTCTTCAATTGACATCAGTGCCAACCAAAGTGTGTCATTGCAGTGATTGTCCATAGAAATATGCCAATATGAATGCTGTCAATTTCCAACACAATTTGGAAATTTCAGCATCAAAATTGGCTTACTTGAGCTATTAGGATAGCTTTCTTCCTTGGCCTGCTTTTCCCCTTATCAATTGTGAGGATTCCAACAGCAGTGCTCCAAATGCAACAGCCAACCCTCTATAGATGTCCATGCTCTCTCTGATTCTCCTCTGCTATTCTTTAATTACATATTTCCATCAGCTCACATGCCAAATTTACAGCTTTCTAATCAGGAAAAGACACATACATGCATATTCCAGCTTTTAGTGTTGACTATTTGTTGTGTGCTGTGGTAATAAGTGTATAGAGTAATTTTTGGCTCTGAGCAATTTCACATGAGTAGATTTTCCTTACTACTATTGTTTGTCTGCAGAGTCATGTTGCCGTTACCCATTCCCCTCTTATAACCTAAAGTATGTCTTGAAGTTTAAAAGAACTGGAACTGATTTAAACATATGCAGTTAATAAAACTAAAAGAAGTTTAAATATTTAATATTGAAGAGCTGCATCAGACTCTTCAATAAATGAAAGTAAGTCAATCAACAGTTTAGTCATTTGTTATACTCTGTCCTAGGCACCAAGACATTAAAGATTTATAAAGTAACAGTAGCAGCTGTGATGCAGTGGGTAAAGCCACTGCTTGTAGTGCCGACATCCCACTGGGGTGCTGGTTCAAGTCCTGGCTACTCCAATTCCAATTTGGCTCTCTGCTGTAGCCTAAGAAGCAAGTCCTTGTGCCCCTGTATCCATGTGGGAGACCTGACACAAGCTCCTAGCTCTTAGCTTCGGATCCGCTCAGCTCCTGCAGTTGAGGACATTTGGGGAGTGAGCCAGCAGATGGAAGACCTCTCTCTTTCTTTCCCTCTGCCTTTGTAATGCTGCCTTTCAAGTAAATTACTAAATCTTTTTTAAGGAAAGAAAACATTACTATCAGTCTCCATTTTTATTACATAAATTATTGGGCTGCAACAATTTTGTTAATCTATGGTTCTCACTGTAAACGTATTCTACTGAATCTTTACAATAAGTAACCAAGCTAGTATGATATCTGTAACATTGATGAGAATACTGAAAGAAACAAATAGTGTGTATTTCTTTTGATAATGCAGGTTGGGTATGTTTAATTAGAGTGCAAAGATAAGACCAATTAAATGCTCTTTAATTTGGCCTCTCTAACAACGGCTTGTGAAAGTATTGAATACATAGTTTAGACATTAACTACACAGCATATTACAGAGTACATCTCTAAGCATCCTTTTCACTCAAATCTGGTTGGGGGAAAATTTCCTGTAAAATCCCATTTTGAAATAATAGTGTAGAAAGTGGAGCCTCATTAAAAAAAAAAAACACAACCCTATAAGATTAGAACTCATGTTTAAAATGAGATCTTTATTTAAGCTAGCAAATCAATTCAGTGGTGGCTTTCTTCATATATACAACTAAAGGAAGAGGTGGTTTTACCAGCAGTTATAATTTATTTATGTTTAGACACATGATACTACTCTATGTTCAATACTCATTTATAGAAGTCTCTCCATTTATTAACAAGTCTCCTCATAAAATGTTTGCATTCATAAGGTTGATCTGAGAGTATTCACTAAATAATTATAGTAACTACAAAATGTTTATTTATATGTGAAATAAATGGAGGACACATATTGACATAGAGTCAAAGTATGCTTTTATTTTAAATGTATGTCATTAACTGAGTATATGTGTTCTAAATGTTATGCTAACATTCATTTCCTTTCAATTTTTTGAGTTACACAAATATATTGTTTCTGTTGAATGTACATTAAGAATTTGTTGAGGATTTACCTGAGGAATTACAAAAAGTAAATCTTCAGTTTTGATAATAAATAGGAAAAATAAAGTTAGACAGCTAACCACATTCATACTAACCTGGATTTCAAGGGGATAATTGTATAATAAAGTCAGCACTTGGACAGTTCTCTGCGGTATCTTCTTTCTGCGCCTTTAATCATAGAAAAGAGGACTGTGAATAAAAGTGTAATTGCTATTGCTATACAAAATAAGTTACTGCTTATTTTTGATTAATGAAACCGGGTTTGTGCATGGTCCCATCAGCACCATATGCTTTTAAACTCAGTATATTGCAAAGAAAGATGTGATTGCAATTACTGTACAATGATTTTTTCTGACTTATAATCTTTCTACAATGTTTGCAATTTTTTAGCTGTGAATAGCATCCCCTCCCCACTGCACTGCTTTCACATGCCCTGGCTACCTTTCTAAAGCTACACTACATGATTTTCACTTCATGCCTCTATTGAATACTAGGTACAAGATACATTATCCTAGGGCAGTCGCTGTGGCGTACAGGGTAAAGCTGCCGTCTGCAGTGGTGGGATTCCATATGGGCGCTGGTTCAGGTCTCAGCTGCTCCACTTCCAATATTGGGAGAGCAGTGAAGATGGCCCAATTCCTTGGGCCCCTATACCCACCTGGGAGACCCGGAGGAGGCTCCCAGCTCCTGGCTTCAGATTTGTGCAGCTCTGGCCACTGTGGCCAATTGGGGAGTGAACCGGTGGATGGAAGACCTCTCTTTCTCTGTGTAACTCTGATTTCAAATAAATAAATAAATCTTTCAAAAAATATGTGTTATCCTTCAACTGCTAAACACCCTGCACATAATCAAATGAAATAGCAAGCACTCACTGTACATATCATCAATTCTAAATTATAACTTCTTCTTTGAAAGTAATAAAAGAGCCAGAAAGAGATCATTTGAGAGGCATGTGCAAACAAAGATAATGACAGTTTATGGACCTACTTTACAATTAGAATGAAATCTCTATTAATCTCCTCCATCAATTTGTTGCATCCATGCCCCATCCTACTTTTTCCTGTTCTTTCCTAGATCACTGTTGTCACATTGACTTCAGACAATTCCATGAACAGGCCAACCTCTTTCCTGTCACAGGAAATGTGCCTGGAATGTTCTCTGTACATTTTCTCCATTAGGTTTTGGCTCACATGTCGGTTCTTTAACAAGGCTGCGTATGTATTCTGGCTCCAAAAAGGTTTTTTTTTTCCTTGTATTCCCCTTCTTAACCCCTTGACTGATTCCTGCTTGGCCTTTATTGCAGTCAACAAATAACCCTGTCTCCAGAGTACTTGATTTTGTTTATTTTTCCTCATTAGAAAACATTTCTATGATAAATGGAATGTATATATGTATTTCATTCAGCAAACTTTCTCCAACTTCAAGTATAGTTCCTAGACTTTTCAATCTGAATCTTGAACTTTAACCTCAATTATAACATGAACTCAGTAGGACTTGGGGTCTCTCTCTTTATCTCAATTTCCTAATGAAAACAGAGATGGCCCATAATATTCAGACTTCTTAAGGACAAGTTGAGAAAATGGATATAAGTCACTTTAACTTATATAAACATTATGCAAATACAAGATAATTCTTCGAATTCATCTAAACAGATAACAAAGAGATTTGAATACAGTAATATAATTTGGAAAAGTTTCAACATTTTTTGCATGGAAGGTGATCCCTGTCCTTTCACATCAAAAAAAAAAAAAAAAAAATGGTGGGTGAGAGGGGAGTTGGAAACTGAAAAAGAGAACGCAAGCCAGAAGGAAAGATAGTTTCTCAGCGTTCCAATGACGAGTCACACTTTAGGGCTCTGCCTCCACTGTTGGTAATACCGTGAGGGTTTAACTCTTTTAAATACAGTTCGGGTGGATATAAATAAGCTCAGCAACAGAACCTGACAGTCTCTCTATCTGAAATAAGGAGAAAGGGGTGAATCAGAGCAACTGTAATCACCGATTTTCTGCTCTCCTCTCACAGGTCTTCCCAATTCCTTCACAACTAATTATCTTGCTTTTTAGCTTTTTAATTCGGCGCCCCACCCCCACCGCCCCCCTTTCACAGCTAGGGAGGCACAGATTTGTAACCAGAACTAGTTCAATACCCCAATGAGTGTACACCGGAGGCGAGCTGCTGTACAACAACATCTCCTCCTCGGAGCCGCTTTATTTGTTTATCAATGAACATCCATCCTCCTGTGTCCCTGAGATATAGGTCATTGGAAAGAGCAGGCGCGGATCCCATGTGGTCTTCATTATGTTTCCAGACCTGAAGCGCTGCTGATTCCCGCACAACTGAAGTGCATCTGAGCTGCGCGAGCAGACGGAGACACCTGTGCCTTAGGGACTCAGGTGAAGTCTCATCTACCGTCCTGAGACTTTCCCTGAAGCTTTGCCACCCCTCAGCGGCTCACTTCTCATCACCGTCTCCCCTGCATCTCGGACCTGAGCCTCTCTGTTTATCTGCTGTTTTTTTTTCCCGCCCTCTCCACCCTCCGCACCTCGACAGACACACAGAAAGCTCCACGGAACTGGGCATGCCTAATAACAAGGGAAGGCTTGGGTTGCAGAAAGAAAGCGTTTGCACCTTCTGAGCTCCCCTCCCCTCTGCAGCTGCCTCCTGCCAGTCAGCAGACCCGACGTGTAGGACGATCCAATGATTGTCCGTAGTCTGCGCGGGAGTCCCGCCTCTCCTGAAACCTCCACCAATGAGTGGTTGGCGGAGGTGGGCCGCACCGTGCACCCGCCTCTCCAGTTAAGGCCGCTGGTGTGAGCCAGGGCTCGGAGCGAGCGAGGGACGACAGAAGGGACGGGCAGGTGGGGGCGCGGGGCGCGCAGCCCGACGGCTGGAGTAGCAGGCGCTCGGTGCATGGGCCAGTGAGGACGCGCAGAGGTCTCCTCGCCGCTGCGGAGGCGGAGTAGCGCGGGAGCCAGGCGCTGCTCGGCGACCCTGCGTCCGAGCAAGCGGAACCTCGCGCTTTGCCCGGGGACGGTCCGAAGTCCGCGCTATGGAAGAGGAGAAATATTTGCCTGAGCTGATGGCAGAGAAAGATAGCCTGGATCCATCCTTTGTGCACGCATCGCGCCTTTTGGCTGAAGGTAGGACTTGCCCTCCTGGATGCGCTCAGACCCAGACCGCTGTTTGCGCATCTCGCCCGCGGCTTGATCAGGGGAGTGAAGTTGGGGAGGGATGCTCGTCTCCGCCTTCGCAGAAACTGTGCCCCTGAAGATGCTCGCTCCGAGCTGAGCTGGGCAGACGGAGCCTGGGCTCGCGTCACTCCCCCGCCACGGCTTAATTTGGGGAGGACCAAAGCCAGGAGATCTAATGGTAGTGGTGATGCGACCTGTTAGGATCCTATTGATAGAGAAAACGTGAGGCGTCAGGCGGTCCACGGGGGTGTTTTCACTTCGCAGAGGGAAAGGAAATCAGTTTGAAAGTAAATGGTGATCGATAGAGTGTTTTGAAAGCGTCTTACCTATGGATCAGCTTTTTTTTTTTTTTTTTCCTCTTGCTGTATTTGGGGAGTAATTTTGATATCTTTTAATAGAAGTCTTTCCTATGGAAAGTCTTAGAATTAACCTAGATAACTATGCCTGATCATGTATGTATGTGAATTTGGTAAGCAGAAGCTGAAGTGCTTGTAAATTTATTTCAAGTGTGATCATTGGACAGACTGTGAGATGTGGGTCCCTGGAAACACGCCACAATTGATCAACTGTTTTACCAAGTGTGCATTTTCTTTTGTGCACCTGTGATGGCAAAGGAAATTCCATTGCCAGAAGAACATGTATGTGTTGCCTTTGCAATGCTTGGAAAGATTGTTGTAAGCGCGCTCGCGCACACACACACACACACACACACACACTTACCCAAACTTCCTTTGACAGAGTGTTGAACAAATGGCTCCATTTATATTGAAAAGATGACTTCTAACTACTAAAGACATCCATGGTGGCTGTAGTAATCCACACATACCTTTTTAAAACAACTGCAGATTTTTTTTTTTTGGATGAATGCTTGATTCATAATGAATCACTTCATCATCAAATTGGCTACAATGCAGTTTTGTAACTTGGGTTGTCATGGACTTGCCTACAGAGAAACTAAATGTGAAAAGTTCTTCTTACTCCAACCCCTCAGAATTAAAAGGACTTTTTTTTTTCTTTTAGACTTAGTTGTACATGGAAGGAAAAATTTTAGTCCTCAATGAGCGATTCAAATAGCCATTAAATTTAATATTTTATCGGTTGATTATAACTTATAATAAAGTGTAAAGTGCATTCCAATATTTGCATGCTAAACAATCAAAAATATTTATAATCAGAATATGGAACATGAGAGATAGCTGTTTCCAAGGAAAAAGCTCTTTTTGTAGTAAAAATAAAACTATGCCTACTACTTTCTTGGTTACTGAAAGGGACAAACAACAAGTAGAGTAGAAAAGTGAAGTCAGTTAAATTAAACTTCACTTTGTTTTTAAAAAGACAATTGCATTAAAATAGTAGGAATAGTAAAAAACAATGCTTAATATTCTTCGAAATGGTTAAAAATTCAAAGATGCGTTCTCTGCTAGTTTACATCAACGTTTGCCAGATGTGTCTTTATTTAGCTGATAATGTCTTTACAGTGAAAAAAAAAAGTTACAAATTGATCATTTTCCCTGACCTGCTAATTGGAGTTCTGTTTGGGACAGCAGGCTCAATGATTAATTCATTAGTCATTAATGTGAGTTATTGTACTTGAAAACTGCCAACTAAAGAAATTCATACGAGAAACTCTTAACAGAGTGAGTAGGTATTTCCGCACCTGGTGAAACAGTCAGAGAAGGCTATGCACCTGCCTGGTTCCTTAACAGTTTATCTTTCCCAGCAACTTGATTTCTTGATACTTAAGAATATGTTCTGATGTACCTTGTAATTTAATTTTTTCCCAGCAGGGGGAAGCATGTCCTTCTTTTGTAAGGAATTAGGACTGAAAGCCCCTCCATAGAGAGACAAGCATCTAAGTAAGAAACAAAGAGGGTGCTCAGATTCACGACAAATCATCATGAGGAAGAGGGAATGGAGGAGGTGATAATAAGCTTGAAGTACCCAAAGAGTTATGTAAAAAGATGCAATGAAGTGTAAGCTGTTTTCAAAAATTGTACATGGGTCTCTTGATATGCGTATATGAGAGTAAAGTATTTTTTTGCAATGTCAATGAATCTGAAGGTAAATTTTACACTAAAGATTATTCATTATCTGTCCAAAGGCCATTTGCCATAATTCCCAGGTTTTGTTTCTGGTATCTGTAGAAGCATGTAGTAGAGATGCTTTTATTTCTCATACCTGGAAATGTACTGATTGAAGGCAGGAGCTATAAATAAACTTGACATAGATATTCATTTGGAAGGCAAGTGCACACTGAAGTACATTTCAGTCAGAACGGTGCAGACAGTCTCAAGACTGAGTGAGTAATAAAGATGATCCAGATGATTCCGTCCTTCAAAATGATTTTCCAGGAGCTAATAAATATTAGGGTAGTCATACAAACCAATGAGCTCTCCCAATAATTTATTTTCCCTTTTGATTGGTGTTAGATGTAAATCGGTGCTCAATAGACACCACTTCATTTAAAACTGAGAATTGAAGGGCATGGGTTGAAAAACCTAGCTTGTCGGTTATTTTTGTAGTGTTTTGTTTGATTTCACTTGTTTGTGTTTGATTTCAGTAAGATTGATTCTGAGAAACATATTGATAGACCTGTAACCCAGGCATTTCATGCATTTAGTTGTTTCTTAGAAGATATCTTAAAAAATGTGGTTTGAAGAGTGTTTGTTTGATTAGATAATAGAGTTTTGCTTCTGTGACTATAATGTTGTAAGGTATCCATCTGTTATGGGAAGTGCTTTGGAATATGAGAAAACAGCAAACTCAGCACAATCTTTGAAGTTCTACTTAGTCTCTGAATTTGCTTTCCAGATGAAATTGCATGTAGTCATTTATATCTATGCTACTTTGGGGCAGTGCATTAAACTGTAAATCCAGATAGCAGGATTTTAATTCCAATTTTACCTCATGTGAATTGTGGCAAGTTTTCCTTCTCTGGGCCTAGTTTCCTTGTTTCTCAAAGATGGGAACTAGATGCTGTATGCGTGTCATTGAGTCTCAGACTACTGCAGATGCAATGGAGTGATGCTGTATATTCAGAACACAAAAATCAATGACTACGCATTTTTGAAACTTTAAAAATTCTTTCCTCGTTTAATGATTAATAATATATTTATTGGACTATAATGTAATTTGAGGCATATACTTTATTTTGGGCACTGGGGACAGATTTATGTTCTTAAGTCTATTGAACTATTATCAAGGCTTGGGGCCATAAGTGCATGTGCATGGAAATATCCTTGTTTGCATCAGGCATGACTGCTGGCAGACACAGATCTGTTCAGATTTATAGATGTAATTACAGTGATTCAATACTTGTCAGAATATTAATAAATTCTTGTCCAGTTGAGGGTGTTTTGGGCAAGACTTCGTAGCCTGATTTTTTCACAACCATTGGCAGATTCATCATTGTTTTAGTTGACTCATCATATGATAAAATAAAATACTGCTGAATATTCTAGCATTTAGAGTGGCTTTGAAATATGCTCAGTGCTATTTTCAAATTATGGTAAAAAGCTTAGCCTGCCATTTAGGATTGGCTTTCATGTTAGTAAATATCAATGAACTTCTAAGAATGTGTGTAAAAGACTCATGATCATCAAAAATTTTGACTAGTAGTGACTTATCTATACTTGGATTTTCAATGATGACTAGACTTTCCATAAATGCTTTCCATAAGTATTCTTAAGGAAAGTTACTGGTATGATGTCTAAAACCAGGTCCTCATAAAAAATAGTATCCAAGGGACTTTTTAAATGGACTTTTCTTTTGATTTTTCTAAAAGATTAATTTATTTATTTGAAAGTCAGAGATTCACAGAGAAGGAGAGGCAGAGAGAGGGAGAGGACTTCCATCTGATGGTTCACTCCCCAGATGGCCGCAATGGCTGGAGCTGTGCCAATCTGAAGCCAGGAGCCAGGAGCTTCCTCTGGGTTTCCCATACCGGTGCAGGGGCCCAAGGACTTGGGCCATCTTCTACTGCTCTCTCAGGCCACAGCAGAAAGCTGGATCGGAAGTGGAGCAGCCAGGACTCAAATTGGCATCCATATGGGACACCAGTGCTGCAGGCGGTGGCTTTACTCATTATGCCACAGCACCAGCCCCTTGATTTTTAAGAAATATGTTCAAAATAATCTTGTTTATGTGCCTTAAATACAAAACAAATATAAAGAAAATATTGTGGTTATTTTGTTCCACAGTTAAAACAAGTTTATGATATACTGGAAAATTCTACTTGAGAATTGACATTTCTACCTACTATGAAATATTAGCTATGCCTTGTTTCCCCTGTATGATATCCCATTTCTTACTGTGTAAAATTGAAAAACTTATAACTACCAGAATGATATATTTTAAATAAAAATTCTGATTGTGAAAATATACCCAGTTTTAAACAAAATTTATAGAAATGTAAGATCATGCTTTTTAAGGGTTTCCTTGACATTTTAATGCCAATGTGGATTTGACCTCAGTCTGAAGCTACCTTTGTTAGAAGATCAGGAAAATAAGTACTGTCATATTCTTTGAATCACTGCTGAATGAAATTTGAACTCATAAAACAAATTATGAAATAAATTCTTACAATTATTCTACTGAGGTTTTTTTAAGTATTATGTTTCATTAGTCAGTGGTCACTTGTCAATCCTTACCTTCAGCTTGATCAGCCCTGGTTCTTTTTCTTTCAAGGATAATTCCTGAACTCCTCAGGCCTTAAGCCCACACTGCCTTTCACCCTGAGCAGGTGATTTTGCAGTTTCTTTTATTAAGAGAAATGAATTCATCTTTTCTGGTGGCCCCCAGCCTCCTTATACCTTACATTTTCTATGCTCATCCTTGCTGTCTTTCATTCCTGGAAAATGAAATTTTTTTGTTCAAGGTTGATTTATCCATCAATGTTCTTGACTCTTTATGCTCTTTATCTTCTGTGTGTGGACTTATTCTATAGTTAT